CAACTCCCAGAATTCCCCAGCCAGCGAATGCTGGCTGGGGAATTCTGGGAGTTAAAGTCCGGACATCTTCAAGTTGCCAACGTTGAGAAACACTGTCCTAGACACTGCCTTAGTTTGAGAACCAGGCATCCTTGAACCAGGAACTGGCAGAGGCGACCCGCCTCGACCGATTCTCGTACTGTATTTAAGAAAGGGGGGAAGGCAGCCCCGTTGTGTCTTCTCCCTTGGTGCCAAGTCGGGACATTTCCACTAACAAGTGCCAAAGGTTTGCGCCGTGACTCACTTTTCATTCTTGGGGAGGGCCTTCTCCACCCCTGCTTTCCAAATTTAACCTGTGTGATGCAGGTCAACTAAATACAGCCTGCACTTCGGGATGGGGGTTAGCAGATGGGCAAAAGTCAAGGCACATCTGGTATGGCTGCTGCTTGTTGGCCATCAGCTGGTCCAGAAGAATTTTGGTCCAGATAAACTCAAGAGGTAGCAAGCAGTAAGGGAGAACTTAACGGTCCAGATGGAGACGCCACTGATCTTACTTTCTCCTTTCTGAATGTCGATATAGATGAATTTCTCTCCCTGCGAGCGATTAATGCTCGAGATTCATTCTTATGCTATCTATATCAGGGGTGTCCACCATTGGCCTCCTTTTTTAAGACCTGTGGACCATTTCTCTCCCCCCTCCCCAATGCTGGCTGGGGGATTCTGGGAGTTGAAGTCCACAAGTCTTAAAAATTGCCCGACAATGGACACCTCTGACCTACATGTGATGAAGTTAATGCGCAGGTGGCCAGGGTGTTGGCAGGTGGCCAATTGTTGCTTGTTGCTTGTATATTGACAGGATCCGGTGTTTCTTAGATGGAAAGTTTCAATTAAATGTTTTAAATGTCTCGCTGTTAACGCCCTGGCAGCCTAAGATTAGTCTGGTTTTGGAATTTCTCAGCTCTCTGGTATGAATGCTGACAATAAAACCAATGTTGCCTGCTTGTTAAGTCACTTGTCTCTTGGTTTCATTTAAACAATGAAAGATGATGAGACTAAAACATGAACGGTTGCAGGAACTGGGTATGTCTAGTTGGATGAAAAGAAGGACTAGGGGAGACATGATAGCAGTCTTCCAATATCTCAGGGGCTGCCACAAAGAAGAGGGAATCAAACTATTCTCCAAAGCACCTGAAGGCAGGTCAAGAAGCAATGGGGGGAAACTAATCAAAGAGAGAAGCAACTTAGAACTATTAGAACAATTGATCAGTGGAACAACTTGCCTCCAGATGAATGCTCCAACACTGGAAGTTTTTAAGAAGATGTGGAGACTCTAGAAAGAGTGCAGAGAAGAGCAACAAAGAGGATTAGGGGACTGGAGGCTAAAACATATGAAGAAGGGGAGTGGGGTGGATTTCATGCCTGCATTCTCAAATGGAGATAGTGGGATTTTGTCCCCAAACTTCCTTCTTCTATCTTGTTTTATGTGGAGACTCTAGAATAGAGTGCAGAGAAGAGCAACCAAGAGGATTAGGGGACTGGAGGCTAAAACATGAGGAACGGTTGCAGGAACTGGGTATGTCTAGCTTAATGAAAAGAAGGACCAGGGGAGACATGATAGCAGTCTTCCAATATCTCAGGGGCTGCCACAAAGAAGAGGGAGTCAAGCTATTCTCCAAAACTCCTGAGGGCAGGACAAGAAGCAACAGATGGAAACTAACCAAGGAGAAGAAGCTACTTAGAGCTAAGGAGGAATTCTCCTTAGCGAGGACAATTAATCAGTGGAACAACTTGCCTCCAGAAGTTGTGAATGCCCCAACATTGGAAGTTCTAAAGAAGAAATTGGATAACAATTTGCCTGAAGTGGTGTAGGGTTTCCTGCTTAAGCAGAGGGTTGGACTAGAAGACCTCCAAGGTCCATTCCAACTGTTATTCTAAGTTCTAAATTCTAAGTTGATTTGAACAGAATAGCAACCGCACTTATACAACTTGACGGTGCTTGATGGCTCCCTCTAAGTGGGGCACTTTGCCCCCAACAGTCTGGATCCTCATTTTACCGACCTCTGAAGGATGGAAGGCTGGGTCAACCTTGAGCCAGTCAGGATCGAACTGCTGGTGTGTGGGCAGAGTTAGTCTGCAATACTGCATTCTAACCACTGCGCCACCATGGGACTAGAATAGGATGGAAGGCAACGTTGAGCCAGTCAGGTCCTCATTTTACCAACTCGGAAGGCTGGAAGGCTGAGTCAACCTTGAGCCGGTCCATATCAAATTTCTGACAGTGGGCAGATGGAGGGACGGATGGAAGAAAAGGAAGATCAATAGTCATAGCACTTAGACTTATATCCCCTTCACAGTGCCTTACAGCCCTCTCTAAGTGGTTTACAGAATCAGCATCCCTTCCAACTGTTATTCTAAGTCAGTGTTTCTCAACCTTGGCGACTTTAAGTCCTGTGGACTTCAACTCCCAGAATTGGGGGATTCTGGGAGTTGAAGTCCACAGGACTTAAAGTCGCCAAGGTTGAGAAACACTGTTCTAAGTTCTAAATTCTAAGTTGATTTGAACAGAAATAGCAACAGCACTTATACCGCTTCTCAGTGCTTTACAGGCATCTCTTAAGTGGTTTACAGAGTCAGCCTCTTGCCCTCAACTATCTGGGTCCTCATTTTACCAACCTCAGAAAGATGGAAGGCTGAGTCAACCTTGAGCTGGTCAGGATCGAACTGCTGGTGTGTAGGCGGAGTTAGTCTGCAATACTGCATTCTAACCACTGCACCACCATGGGAATAGAATAGGATGGAAGGCAACCTTGAGCCAGTCAGGTCCTCGTTTTACTGACCTCGGAAGGATGGAAGGCTGAAGCCAATTGTGGTCGCTAAATCGAGGACTATAGAGTGCAAAGAAGAGCAACTAAGATGATTAAAAGAACGTATGAAGAACAGTTGCAGGAACTGGGTATGTCCAATCTAGAGAAAAGTAGGACTAGTGGGGACATGATAGCAGTATTCTAGTATTTATGGGGCTGCCACAAAGAAGAAGGGGTCAGATTATTTTCCCAAGCACCAGAAAGCAAGAAACAATGGATGGAAACCAATCAAGGGGAGAAGCAACATGGAATTAAGGAGAAACTTCCTAACAATGAGGACAATTAACCAGGGGAACAGCTTGCCACCAGAAGTTGTGGGTGCTTCAACCTTGGAAGTTTTTAAGAAAAGCGGTTTCTTCTTAAAAGCCTCCAGTGACAGCACGTACAACACCTGTCTGAAGTGGTCTCCTGCTTGAGTAGGGCTACCTCTGGAGGTGGAAGTTCTTCCACATCTGGATATTTTGAAAAAGAGGCTCGATGGCTTACCTGACGAACATCTCAACTGGTTTTTCTGAATATTATGGAGGGTTGGGTCCAGTGGTGGGATTCAAATAATTTAACAACCGGTTCTCTGTCCTCATGACCATCTGGGTAGACGGGGTTTGGTGGTGGTGTGGGCGTGGCCAACTCAATGCCACTCACATCAATGGGTGCTTTGCCTTAGCTGTGACAATGGAATCAGGGTTAACCAGAGGGGCAGTTTCTGTAAGCAAGGCAATAAAGATTAGACTAGAAACAACACCAGAATGCTTCCTTCCTGCCTTCCATACAGGATTAGCCCTG